TTTTTTTTTTTTTTTAGCTGGAGTCTCTGTCACCCAGGCTGGAGTGCAGTGGCACGCTTATGGCCACCACGGCCTTGATTCACTGGACTCAGGGGATCTTTCCGCCTCAGCCTTTCAAGTAGCTGGAAGCATAGTCATGCACCACCATACCTGGCTATTTTTAAAATTTATAGTAGAGACGAGGTCTTGCCAAGTTGCCCAGGCTGGTCTTGAACCACTGGGTTCAGGCAATCCTCCCGCCTTGGCCACCAAAAGTGCTGGGATTATAGGCATGAGCCACCGTGCCCAGCTCCACCTTTTTTTTTTTTTTAAAGAGATTCTATGGTAGGTTTGAGGACCACAGTCTACACTTGTACTGTACCATGGCTGAAATGAGGCGCCTCTGAATTGTGATGTGGTAAGGGTGTAAAATAAACACTGAATTTCAAAGACTTCACAAACATGTAAACTATCTCAGGAATTTTTATATTGAGTATATGTTGAAATAATGTTTTACATATAATGGGTAAGTAAAATATGCTATTAAAGTTGATTTTGCTAGGCGCAGTGGCTCATACCTGTCATCCGAGCACTTTGGGAGGCAGAGGCAAGAGGATTGCCTGAGCCCAGGGGTTTGAGACCAGCCTGGGCAACTGGTGAGACCTCATCTCTGCAATAAATAAAAAAAAATCAGCCAGGCGTGGTAGCACACACCTGTAGTTCCAGCTACTAGGAAGGCTGAGGTGGAAGGAACACCTGAGCCCAGCAGGTCGTGACTGCAGTGGCTGTGATCATGCCACTGCACTCTAGCCTGGGTGACAGAAAGAGACTCTGACTCAAAAACTAAAATAGTTGATTTCACTAGGCTTTTTGCTCTTCAAACATGGCTACTGTGAGCAGACCCTTACCTGGGTGGCTCTCACTCTGTCCGATGGACAGGGCTGGTTCAGAGCTTCCCTCCTGTCAGGGGGATATGACTGTGTCTGAGAGGGCTGGAGGGGCAGGGCAGCCCCCATGCCTCAGCCATGACCTAATGAAGCGCATCTGTCTCTAGAGGCCTCCAAGCAGGCACTGAAGGAGAAGACCCTTTGTGGCTGGAGACTGGGGCAACTGGCAGTTCTGTGGGCGTTGTTGGGGGAAATTTCAGAACCGAAGGACAAAGAGGCAAGGTGTGTCTGGAATGCCCACCCTCCTGTGCAAGTGCGGATCTCTGTGTGGAGGGAACAAGCACAGACGCCTACCAGATAGGCCTGATGACCACTCTGAGGCCAGGGTGTGGCCCTCAAGGCCCCAGGTGGGACGCACCTGCTTGATCTCGTGGTAGTGCCCCAGCAGGGCGTAGGGACAGTAGGAGATGCTCATGGAGACGACACCCATGGTGCTGATGGTGACCATGGCGACGTAGACGTTGGGGAACATGGCCATCAAGGCCGTGCCGACAGAGAAGCCCAGTGTCCCCAGCACGTAGATCACCCTGACGCTCAGATCGTAGTTGTCCAAGTACTTCTGTAGCAGGGCTGCAGAGAGGAGCCACAGGGATGGGGACAGTGACCAAGCAGCTTGCTCTTGTAGGGCTCCCTCCACCATCCCCTCCCTCATGCCCCTGCCACCTCCCTGCTTCTTCCAGCTGAATCTGGGTCCGCTCAGGCACCAGCAAACATCACCTCCTCTAGGCCTGGCCCAGGCAGGCACAGCCAACATGCACCCCTAGAACGTGCTTGCAGCTCATGGGCCTACTTGGACTGCTGGGGCTCCAGCACCTCAGAGAGAAGTGGCCCTCTGTGGTCCCAGTCCCCATGAACTGACCCTTCTGCACCTCCCAGGACCTACCAGGTCAACCAATCCAGGCCTTAACCCCAGAACAATTCATCTCCTGGACCAGGACAGCACTGGGCAGTCCTGTCTCAGTAACAACATAGACGCTAGGTTTTCTCAGGGGTACCTCTCTGGTCTCCCGTTACCCTTCCTGACCCAGTGGCTCAGATGTCACCTCCTCCAGGAAGATGCTCTGCTGAGAATTCCTGTTATTTACCTCAGTCATCCTCAAGTTCAGATCAGGCTAAAATGAAGCTGACCTTCTCCTTCATGGTTCAGAGAAGGTGCAGGCAGGTGGGTCTGGCCCACATTCAACTTGGAGACCCCTAGCCACGGTAATGCCCGGTCCTTGGCAGGCCTGGGTATGCTGCTCCCAGGACAGAAGCCTGTCACCCAACTCTCACCATTCAGGGTAAAATAGTATCTGCAGGGAGAGGCCTCTGGACCATGGCAGACTGAACACTGCTCCTCCCGCTGCTGCCAGCTGGGATCCTGGTGGGCCAGGCCCTTACCCAGTTGTGTGCTGAGACCGGGGCAATGTGTCCAGAGGTGCCATCCACCTTGGACAGTGTCATGGGACACACGAGCAGGACGGTCCCTAAAAAGTGCTCAGAAACATGCTGCTCCTGGTGCCAGCCCATAGTGGCCTTCGTCCTAAGATGAAACAAGCGTTTCGGTGCTTCTCCCCAAGAGTTGGCCCTGCTCAGGCAGAAGTCAGGGTCTGACTGGTGCTTCAGCCTAAGGTGCAGGAGCCCCTCATCCGCATTTCCAACCGTGAGCCTTTTCCGGGGTGCAGACGCTCACCTGGCACACCAGCTCTTACCTGAGCAAATAGCACCGGTGGCAGCGTAGATGACCAGACCCCAGCAGCCCATCTTGACCCCAGCGTTGTAGTCATGCCAGGCGGTTGAGTTGGAGGCGGCCTGTTCCAGAAAAAAGAAGGCGCTGAGGATGCCACCTGTTCCCTTTATGGAAGGTGACAACTATGCTCCCAGAGAAGCCACTCCGAGCCCAGGTCACAGCTGGCAAATCACTTTATCCCTCCTGGCTGTGATTCGATGCTGCCAACTCCTAGCAAGAGGTGGCATCTTGGTCCCTTCCCCGCCGCCCCAGGTCTGGGCTGGTCTCTATACAGAAAGGAGGCCTGCAGCTTCCACCTTGGCCCATGTGGGCATGAGGGGGGTGTGAGATGGGTTAGAAAGAGGCCCCGCTGCCAAGCCCGTGTATCCCCAGTGCACCATGCTTTGAGGCACTCCCAAAGCCTCCCTTGAGTGTGGCAGGGGTGGGGAGGGCCACCCCTCCCAGCGTATGGGAGCACTCACCTTGGGGTCCCCTTCAAAGATGACCTGGCCCATGAAGTCGGTGTAGAACACGGCCTCGGCGATGACGGAGAACCAGGTGAGAAGGTGGCAAAGGCACAGGCGCATCAGCTCCTTGGGCATCTTCAGCATGGACAGCCACAGCAGGCGCACGGTGGTCTCGCTCTCCCCCTCCTCGCTCTCTGTGTCCCCGCTGGAGTTGGTGGCCCCGCTCTGGTTGCGATGGCGGCACCGCTGCCGCTGCCGCTTCTGCATGTCGTAGAGGTCGCTCATGCTGCGGGACGGCTTGATCAGAACCACCGCATTGGCCCGCCGGTAGCGGTAGCAGTGGGACCCAATCTTGCCATAGTAGGAGAAGGTGCTGGAGGCCTGCCGGCGGAACATGTGCCTCCGTCGCCGCATGGAGCCTGACGTGGCCGAGGGCTTCATGTCCACCCTGGTGTAACCGCTGAGGGCATCTTTCGGGGGGGAGCCACTCCCGTTTGGGACTTTAGCTTCATTCAAGTGATTATCGAGCAAGGTCTCGTCCTCCTTCACAGCTTCCCTGAGGAAGGTGGCCAGGCGGGGCAGCTTGGCCTTGGCGAGCTCCTGGCTGGTGCTGCGGGGGGTGGCGGGGTAGGAGGCGTCGTGGAAGATGGAGGGCTCAATGTCATGCAGGAAGAGCAGCTCGGGCTCCAGGTCCAGCGTGGCGTCCGGCACGTGTAGCACCGAGTCACTCTTGCTGCGCACGATGTCCACGTCCAAGTAGTCCAGGGCCAGCTCGTGCTCCGATTGCACCTCGTCCGGGAAGGCTGGGACAGCGCCATACGGCTCCCCGCCATCCAGGGCGCTGAGGCGGGTGGTGGGGGCGTGGGTGCCACCCAGCCTGGCCCCGGGCAGGGTGTCGGCCTCGTCGGCGCCGCGTTCCTGCTGGGGACTGTACTGCTCCTCCTCGATGCTGAAGAGGTGCAAGGTCACGGACACCGTGAAGACGATGGCGGCAAAGAAGAAGAGCACCTGGTTCTGTGTTCTGAACCAGTCGCCCAGAAAGGTCTGGGTCCAGTCCAGCCCACCCAGCACATAGCCGATGGCTCCACCGAGGCCTGTGTGGGAGGCAGAAGCAGCTGGTGAGCAGGGCGCGGGACACAGGGGGGGGAAAGCTCTGGAAGGGTTTCACCTTCCGAAGGGGGACCAGGGCCACAAGTTTTGGGGATGGAAAATGAGAAGCAAAAGAAGAAACTCCAGCTGACTCTAGGCTTGAGAATTCTGACCTAGCAGAATGTCTGCTTAATAAATTAAGGGCAGACTCACACCAGGAATGGACACAAGTCACATCTTGCACATGCCTCTGTACTGCGTGTCATTCTCTTAAGCGCATGGGGCGACATCCACCTGCTGGGTTTTTTGTAGAGACAGAAACCTGCCCAGGTGAAGGTGGTGGTCAGGGCAGGGCCTGGTCCATCCACCAGGTGACCACATCACCCCGGGCAGGCCTGGTCTACTCGCCCCTTGAAATTCCTCCATCCCTTGGTCCTACTAGCGAGGAGGGCATGCCCCCAGCTACCTTCCAGTCCCGAGACCCTGCCCACTGCCTCGGCGCACCATGTGTCCTGACAAGGCGGTGCTAGCCACAGGAACACTGGCCTCGCCCTTCCCTGCACTGGGCTCGGGATCAGTCCTGGCCATCCGGCCTCAGCACAAGTACGTTACCAGCAGAGAAGGCGTGGATGTTGAGAGCCATGTCCTGTTCCTCGCTGTCCACCACATCCAGGAGGTAGGCACGAATGGGCCCCTCGGTGGCATCAGCGCTGAAATCCAGGACCACCACTCCCAACACTGTGAGGACAATGCCGATGGGCTGCCGGGTAGGGACATCGCCGAGGGCCAGACCTGCACAGAGCAGACAGGGGACAATCAGAGCTTAGGCGCTGGCCACGCCAGGCCCCCAGAATCAAACAGCCACCTGGGTGTGGGGAGGCCATGGGGATACCACACCACCTCTTTCCATGCCAGTCAGGGAGTGGCACACATTGGCACAGACTCTTGGTAAAGAAGCTGGGCATTGTTCTTCCTGTTTCTGTGGTCTACAGCGTTGTTTTCTTCCCTGTTCACTGGAACTCCAAGTGCTTATGTACCCTGTATGTGTTTTAAACAGGGAGGGGTGCTGGGTGTGGTGACACATGACTGTACAATCTGGGATGCCGAGGTCGGAGGATTACTTGAGTCCAGGAGTTTGAGACCAGCCTGGGCAACATAGCAAGACCCTGTCTCTACCAAAATAATTTTAAAAATTAGCCAGGCGTGGTGGTACGTGCCTGCAGTCCCAGCTACTTGGCAGGCTGAGGTGGAAGGACTGCCCGAGCCCAGGAGGTTGATGCCGTGGTAAGCTGTGATTGTGCCACTGCACCCTGGCCTGGGAGTGAGATCCCGACTCAAAAAATAAAAAAGAGTTAGGGGAGAATGACCTCTTCTACCCCATCCATCATCAAGAGGGCAGTGGCTGTGTTAGGAGTACTAAGTCAGCCACTAAGAAGGGTGCACATGTGAGTGCACCATCCATGCTTTGCAAAGAAATCTCCCTGTGAAGAATCAGCCTGAGAAGGGCAACGCTGATGGCGATTTGTGAGCCAGACAGCACTGAAGCATCCAAGCAGACCTGCGGGCTGGCTGTGTGATGCACTGGGCAGGCTAGGTCTGGAAGGAAACGACACCCAGATACCGGGAGGTTTTCAAGAGAACCCTCAGAACAGCCTGGGTTCCAGGAGATGTGGTTCTGAAGACACGAGTGGCCTCACCGCACTCAAAAGTCCCCTTGAAGTGGGTTGCAGGCACCCCTAAGAAGTTGACCTCACACCACATCTCCGCCTCAGGAGAGTCTGCCCTGATGGCTGAAGCTAACCTGGGTTTCCACTTCACACCAGCAAGACAGCATGCCCTCCTGACAAAGCTAAGGGGCAGTGTGGGCTGAAGTCCAGGACCCAGAACCAGTCCCTAAGTGCATGATTAGCCTGAACAGACATATCCATTCCACGGGAGGCACGGGAAAGGGCTTTCTGACCAGCAGCACCCTGCTGGCCTCCTTGGGCCATGGGCCAAGTCATGCATGAGTGGGGGTCTCATTTGGGCAGAGCACAGCATTGAGAAAGACACATCATTCTCTCTGTACCTCAATAAACAGGAAGGGGAGGGCTACCCCCCAGGGTGATGCAGACGGGCCGAGAGGGCCAGCAGACGCCAGGACAGTGACACCCTGGACTTCTGAATTGGAGACATCACCCGGCTGGAGGGAGGCTGTCCTCCCTGCACAAAGGGTGCAGCTCAGGGGCTGATGCTGGGGCAGGGTCAGGCTGGGGACAAAGCCTACCCCACGGCCCCCTCCCCACCCCATCTGAGAAGTTGAGCAACTCTCGCTGCCCGAGAGGGTTCCTGGGGCGTCTCTTCCTGCAACCAACGGTCCTGACTCCCATCTGGATTGGGCAGACCTGGGCAAGTTCCTCTATTTCAGAACACAGAATATGCTCCTCCGCCTCAGAAAGTTGTTGCCAGAGAACAATGTTTTGTTTTTCACAGCTTTGATGGGTGCCCTCAAGACAAAAAATATTTTCCCACGTATACGAGCTGCTTTACTTCAAAACAAAACAAAACCAAAAAAAAGAGGGCAAAACAAAACCTGAACACGCGACCAGAAACAAATATCAAACTAGGTTCTGGACATTTTCAATACCGAGTCTAAGAAAAGGAGTATGCAAAAAGAAAAGATAATGTCTGAAATAATGCTGGAAACAGGACGTGGTGTCAGATAGGCATTAAAAACAAGCGATCACAACAGGAAGCATGTCCCTGTGAACAGGCTCCTCTGGCTTTCCCACATGGGCCTGCCCCAGCGCTGCCAGGCGGGCCTGTGTGACGGTCGCCGCCAGGGCGGCCGGGGAGGGTCAACCTGAGCCACCCGACCCGGCGGGGCAGGCCCTGCTCCCGTGCCGATGCCCAGCGTGGCAGAGACGCTTACCGATGGCAGAGCCATTAAGGAAGAGTGCCACGCCGAAGAGCACGCCGACACAGAGGGCGAGGATGAAAGGGCGCCGGCGGCCCCAGCTCAGGGTGCAGCGGTCACTGGCAGACCCGATCAGAGGAGTGAAGACGAGGCCGAGGACGGGGCTCAGGAACCAGGTGAGGCTGTAGTACTGCTCCGGAAGGCCTGCAAGGGACACAGGGGCCGTCACACATGCACACAAGGCGCTGGCAAGGCGGCCTCGCAGTCAGGCTCAGGGAGCCGCGAGGACACGCAGGGCACCGCAGGGCATTCACGTCTGTGTGCGTGCACACTCACGCCCGCTGCTGCTAGTCTCCCGGGGCGACTACACAAGGGTTTCTTTGAGGCCGGGTGATCTGAAATCAACCCGTCCCTAACTCGAAGCACCAGGTGGCCAGAGAAAAGCAACCAGGGCCTCAGAGCAGGTGAGTGGGCCCCCATTAGCCAGGAGCCCATCCTATAGGGGGAGCACACACTGGCTGTGTACACACCAGAGTGCCCACCCAAGGCTGGAGGTGGGAGGCTGAGACCCCCTCCGAACTGCTGGTGTTGACCAGGGCCTCTGGGGGCAGCTGAAGGTCCCTCAGGGGCAACAGGCACAGAGCCACAGTCCCTCAACACTGGACAGTCCATGACAAGAGCAGGACAGTGGCTGCAGCACCATAGAGATGCCCATGATTTTCTGGCTGAAAATGCACCGCAGCGGGTCTCACAGCAGGTCCACACAGCCACAAGGGGCTCTATTACCCCAGCAGTAGTTGCTCCGAGTGGCCACTGAGTGGGAGTGAGGGGACATAAGAGTATGTCTGGCTGGGGCCAAGGTGTCACCGTTGGCATTTGACAGTCATAATCACATTCACCCTCCTGGCTTCTCAGAGAGGTAGGAATTATTATGCCCACTGTACCGACAGGGAAGCTGAAGCTGAGAGGAGTTAGGTAATCTGCCCTGGGTCACATAGTTAGAAGGTGGTATCCTGGGATTGAAGCCCAGGGCTGCCTGATTTCAAACTTTGTCCCCCAGGCTACATGCAGCCTCCCTATCACACAAACCTAAATGCCCATTGGCGATCAGGTGGCTAAACAGCATGGTCACATGCTGGAGCACCACCCAGCAACTAGAACAAACAGTCACAGCTGCATGCAACAGTACGGATGAATCTCATATGCGACGCTGAATGACAAAAGGCCAGACACAGGCGAGTACATGCCATAGAATGACGCCTATTTTGTGACATCCAAAGGCACATCAAGGAATCTCTGCTGTGAGAAGCAAGGGTGCTAGGTGCCCTTGGGAGGGGCAGGGATAGAGGGAGGGTAGGTGGGTTTCAGGGCGGCTGTCTGCTCTTGACCTGGACAGCACACCCCAGCTAAGGTCACGTGGCGAGCAGGCACCCAGCAGGAGACTGAAGATCGGTACACTTCTATTTGCTCCACTTCGATGAACGTTTACTTCCAAAATAAAGGTGCTTTGGCACGCCAGCCACTCATCTGGCTAGCGTTTTACGCTGCCAAAGGTGTGAGAAGTGGAATATTGTGTTGAACCAGTAAGAAAAATAAACTTGTGTAGGAGGAGGAAATCATTTTCAAAGGAGGAGGGAAGCACCTTTTAAAACGATTGCTTACGTGCCCATTAAAATATTTATGCATCCAGTTGAAAATTTAAGGTGTTTGCTATGACCTTTACACCACGCAGAACTTCAGGAAGGTTGAATTTTATTCCTATGTAAAGTCAGCAGAAAGTGCTGATGTTTCAGGAAATGAGGCGTCTGCTGAGTGTGTTCCGCTGCACAGGCTGAACTCACATGGCAGGCCTGGGTTCCTCGTCTTTCACCAGCAGTTATGCAAAGAAGAAAGTGACAGCTGCCGTGGCTGCAGAGACCTGCCCATGGTCAACAATGTGTCGGGTGGCCTATTCTACAGAAATGGCTCTTTCTATCAAAATATTTAGTATGTGCAATAGTCAAATTTTCAGGAAGAATGGAAAACATTACTACTCCCAACAGACCCTTACACAGGTTGCTGCTTTTACATGCCAACAAGTCCTGTGACAGGTGGCCCGTTGCAGAGCAGTGGCATGAATGTGCAGGGTGCCACCTGCCCCAGCCCACCGTCTCCAGGGTGGGTGCCAGGAAGGGCTTTGGGTCTCCTGTAGCACCTCACTGGCTCTCACTTCCTTGTCTGGGAACCCCCTGCTGCTGTCACAGGGGTCAAACCCTCAGGGCTGCTCAGGGGTCATCCTACCAGGAGGCCCTCACGCCCCTTCCCGTTCCTGTCCACAGTGCCCACTCACTTTGGGCACTTCAGTTACGGTGTTTTCCACAGCGTGTGGAAGGCTCTGGAACCACTCATAAGCACTCCACAGAGACTGCGCCTCCCCAGCTCCCTCAGTTCTCTCCCCCGCCCATCCTAGTCTGGCACCAGCCAGGACCTGGGGCCCACAGAGGGCACAAACGCTTGTCAACCTGAACCAAACCACCGACCATTTCCAGTACTCCTCCTTCCTTATTGAAGGAAGATGAAATCTGAGCTTCCCTTAAGCCTGAAAAAAATTTTTTTTTAAAGCTTTTCTTAATAGAGCAGATCTGTTGATGACAAGTGCTCTTAGATTTATCTTAAGTTGCATTTTTGTTCTTAAAGAGTATTTTTGCTGAATACAGAATTCTGAGTTAATTCCCCATCCCAGAACTCTGAAGTTGTAACTCCACCGTTCTGAAAAGGTGGCTGTGGTCACCCACGTGACTGTTCCCTTGTATGTAATGTCTTTCTCCAGTTGCTTTCAAGATTTTCTGGACTGATGGCTTTTAGTCATCTGACTATGAGAAGGCTAGGTAAGGGTTTCTTTACATTCATCCTGCTCGGGGTTTCCTGAGCTTCATAGATCTGCCGATTTACGTGTTTCACCAAGTTTAGGAAATATTCAGTCATGTCTTACTTCAATTTCAGAGTTTTTTGGTCCCATTTTCTAGTTCCTCTCTTCTGAGGCTCCAGTTACATACTATATATCAGACCTTTTGATATCGTCTCTGTTTCCTGGGCTCTCTTCATTTCTTTTTTCAATCTTTGTCCTCTCTGTTTTCCATTATTAAATCACTTCCACTGACTAATCATTTAATCCACCAACTCTTCTGTCATCTCCAATCTGTTCTTAATACTATCTGGCTAATTTCCTATTTCAGATAGTGTATTTTTCCCATCTACGACTTCTGTTTGGTTCTTTTTCGATAGCTTCTATTTCTCTGCTGCAGTTTCCTACTTTTCATTTTGAGCATGTCTTCCTTTATATCCTTGAGCTTAGTTGCACATGCCTGCCTGGTAATTCCAACATGTGTCATTACCGTGGAGTCAGTCTCCACCGTTCTTTTCTCTTGAGTTAAGAGTCACCTTTTCTTTCGTTTTTTAAAAAAACATGTCTAGTGATACTGAACTGTATCCTTGACACCATGAATGTGTTATAAAGACTATATTATGCTCCTTTGAAGAGTGTTGATGTTTTTGTTTAACAGTTAACCCGGCCGAAATCAAACTCAAAACTCTGTCTACTCTGCAGTGGCAGACAGCAGAAATCTCGGTTCAGTTCTTTTAGATTTTGTCAAGCTACTGGAAATCTGTCCCATAAATGCACATTTCAGGAATCAGTCAGAGATATGAGCAGAATTTATACCCAGGGTTTGGGATACCTCCATCCTAATGCTGCCCTAGACTCAGGTCTCAGCTTCTTCAAGAAAGCAAGAGTGTGATATCTACCCGAGTTTCAGCCACCCTGCATGGCACCAACTAAGGCCTTCAGGTTCAAGGCCATAGAAAGTGGGAAACCTACCTGTGCAGGCTCCTCCCTCCAGCTATCTGCCTCCTTCCTCATTCCCTTTCTCTGTAGCACTCTGGTGCCTTCTGTAGTTGGTTTTTACGTTGTCTTAACTGCAGAAAGGCTGCTCTGATGAGCTACTATGCCACACCCTCTGCTGAGTTTCAGTCACTAATGGCAAGTCATTACTTTACTCAATCCTCCTGACAACTTAGTGAGGCAGGTGTCACCGGCTTTATTTCACCCTGTGCTGTAACCACCTGCTTTCTGCCCAGCTTTGTCACACTGGAAGCTCTGTGAAGAAAGGGCTCATGCATGTCTTGGGCACCCTTCTATCTCCACAGCGGCACACACACCATCTACTGAACCACAGCATGCCATTCAGCAGCTGTCAGCTCCTGCACCCCATGCTGCCCTGTCTTTGCGAGTCGGGCTGACCCTGCAGGGTGGTGGAGTCATGCAAGGTTATGTGGTGATGAGCGGGTAGAGAAAGCTGCAGTCATTGGCACGGTCCAGACAGGACACCGTGGCTAGCTGGTGGCAGAGACCGCTTCCTCCCCATGTCCTGAGCATACTAGGCCGTCCCACTTTCTGACTTCTCAATGTCCCACTGATAATGGCAATTTTGTGATACAATTTATGGAACATCTCATTTTATCCTCACAGACAAAGCTTGTACTATAAACCCCATCTTTCTGGTGAGGAAATGAAGGCCCTGAGAGGACTGCCCATATATGAACAGTAAATGCCAACCCAGCAATCTGAACCGCACTGCCACCTCCCACCTGGTACAGCCAGCTTCTGGCCTGGTCTTGTCTCTGCAACTGGCTCTGTGGCCAACCATAAAGGCCAGTGGCAACCCCAGGGCTGGTGTGAGTCCCGAGATGGGCTCTGAAGACAGGTGCCATCATCCTGCCCCAAAGCCTCTGCTGGATGGCTGACCTGGGAGTGGGTGGCACTCTGGGCACCTGCCATCAAGCTGAGCCTCAGAGCTAGAAGCTGCATTCAGGGAGCAGCTAGTGAGGAAGGCAGAATGGTAGGATCGACAGAGGGCAGGCGGGAGTCAGAAGGACAAATACAGACAAGTGCCATACAGCTCTGCGACCTGCGTGGGCCTCAGATGCAGCCTACTGACCTACAAGCAGGCAATGAATGCCCCTCTGTCCTTAACAATACAATTTGGCACAACCACTGGCAGAAGCTCCAGCCCCAACGTCAGCCTCTCCAGTAGGCATCAGATCAATAAGGCAGAGAGGAAATTATGGGGCTTGAGTTGTTCCTTCAAAATTCGACCTCTGATATGGAAGGGCACACGCAGTGACTAAGTACTTCCTTCTGGTGATGGTTGTCACTACTCCTGCTG